CCCCCCCCACCCCCCTTTACCTGAAGGTCTAGATCCGCCACTGATTTTTACCCGGCCATATAGGTATCGTTGAAGCCTTGCGTAAAGAAATGTCTATATTTAAGAAAATAAACTGTGTTGAAGATAGCATTTGATGACAAAATCTTTAGTGCAGTTAAAATCACTTCAGCTCTTAACTATTTGCCTGTTCTAGTATGGTCTCCTCTAGGAGTCAAATAAAGCCTAAGCCCCCATCCGGCTTTGTCTACTGATGAGGCATGACATGCCTGTTTAATTCAACCTTCGAATGCTAACTGAAGGGATCCCCTCCAATGTTTTTTATAGAATTTTGAAGGTTTTTAGAACACTCCACAACACGAGGCCGGGAAGTGAGAAGAATTTACTGCTCCCCTTGTATCAGTTTTGGTTCAATACTGTGGACGTAAATAATGATCAAGTTAACCAGTTAACAGTACCTCTTGCATACACCCAGTGCCTCGTGGGTTTTATGAATAAAGAGATTGTTCATGATTAGGTAGATATCCCTGGGAGTCCTCCCTTTAAAGGCCTATACGGGAACGCTCCGCTCGAAAGGGGGATTTCACTAGTTGAAGTACAGTAGAATCCTGGTATCTCGAACTCTGAAGCGAAAGGAAGAACAGTTAGAGTTAGCGAAGGTTTGCCGTTTATTGGGGTCGATTGCAAACTTCCATTTTCAGTGTTAAAAATTAATAATAATTGATTTTTCAGCATAGTCCGGCAGTGTATAATACTACTATTTGCAGCGCAAGTTTAACTTATTTTATCAGAAACGGTAACATGATTCTAAAGGCATTTTTTGTGATAAAACCTGATTTGCCGTTGCACAAATTAAATCAAATTGCTTTTAGTGTTAAACCAGTGTTAAATTTAGTGTTTTTACTGATTATACCGACAAGAAGAGCAAATGTAATGGCATCCGAGTAAAGTTACAAGGACCAGAATTCGAGTCATCCCGGTAATTTTCTGTGACTTTTTGATCAAGGGAAAGGAAATCTAGTTCGAGTTAGCGGGGAATTAGAGGTGCATTTGCATGGCACACCCTGTCGAATGTGTCCGGCAGTCGTATCTTATCCAGCCCTCCTACATCGGTCTTGATCTGACTGTGTCGCTTTTTCAGCGACAAGAAATAGGGATCAAAAGGGTAATGTCCTTGTTCTCTTTATTATATTTTCTTTTTCCTATTTTTTCTTCTTTTTCAAGGGAAATCACTTTTTTTTGCAGTAGAGGATAGTATGGGACCAGCCACCTTAGTAACGTTTGAGCTTCCTAGTGACGTAAGTTTGCGCATGCTCTAAAGCAGAACTTCATTTTTTCAGCGTTCCGTTTGTGGGAAAGTGAGTCATCGACATGTTCGAAGCGGAAAAACACCTTGTATAAGTATCGAGTTGACATCTCTGTACAGTGAGTGATAACCTGTCTCGCAGAAAAGCTGCCCTGCGGTATAGAGTAGTGGAATTGTCTTGGATAAATACAGTTGCACTTCCTGCCGAAAGAAAATGTTTCACAGACGTTCCGCAAGTGTTGGTGAGCTGCACGGAGGTCACGGCGCCCNCCCCCCCCCCTGTACAAAAATTTTGTTGAGTAGCGCTCGTGACCACTTGGTACATATATTCTGAACGGAAGATAAGATTTAGCACTACATGATGTGTTACACAAAAAGTGACATGACAGCTAAATCCATTTGAACGGGCAAAGAGACACCGTCACAAAAACCTCCACCCGCCACCAGGGTGGCTCGGGATCGATGATTTCCCAACTGGGTAAGTGAGTGCAGGAGCCTGTTATGATAGGCTCTTAGTGAGTGTTTTCAAAATCTTCAGATTTGCACGGCACACCCTAACGAATATGTCCGGCAGTCGTGTCTTATCCAGCCTTCCTACATCGGTCTTGATCTGACTGTGTCGCTTTTTCAGTGACAAGAAATAGGGATCAAAAGGATAATATCCTTGTTCTCTTTATTATCTTTTGTTTTTCCTTTTTTTTTTTCTTTTTCAAGGGAAATCACTTTTTTTTTGATAGTATGGGACCAGCCACCTTAGTAACGCTTGAGCTTCCTAGTGACGTAAGTTTGCGCATGCTCTAAAGCAGAAGTTCATTTTTTCAGCGTTCCGTTTGTGGGAAAGTGAGTCATCGACATGTTCGAAGCGGAAAAACATAAGTATTGAGTTGACATCTCTGTACAGTGAATGATAACCTGTCTTGCAGAAAAGCTGCCCTGCGGTATAGAGTAGTGGAATTGTCTTGGATAAATACAGTTGCACTTCCTGCCGAAAGAAAATGTTTCACAGACGTTCCGCAAGTGTTGGTGAGCTGCACGGAGGTCACGGCGCCCGGGAAGTTAGCGAAGACGAGGATGCGAACTTGGAGAGGTCTAAGAGCTCCAGGCAACTAACGAAAAAAAAGAGCTTCAGATTTGGCTCGAGGGATTTTGTTGGAGGCAAAAAATTAGTGAGGAGGCCGTCGATGAAATCTGTTACGAATATGGTTCACAAACTTGTCATGAGAGTATCTGCTGTGCAGTTTCCTTCGAACGCGGCTTACTCGACAACTTCGATTGGTAAAATAGACGAGAACGCTTCATACAAGAAGAAAAATTTCGATGCAGCTGAACAAACTCCTTCGAACATTCAAAGAAGTAGATCGGTTGAGGCAATCAACGTTTCTGGATTGAAAAACCATGGCAATACTTGTTTTATGAACTCGATTATTCAATGTCTCGCTCATACTGATTTGTTAGCCGAGTACTTCGTAATGGACCAATACAAACAGGACTTAAAACTTCGGAAGGGGCAGACCAAGAAGTTTGGAACTCGCGGTGAAGTAACGGAGAAGTTAGCTGTGTTGCTCAAGAGTTTGTGGTCAAGTCAGTACAATTCACAGATTAGCAGCGATTTCAAAATGATCGTAGGAAAATATGGGGCTCAGTATAGAGGCTACTCGCAACATGACGCCCAAGAATTTTTGCTTTGGCTTTTGGACAAAGTACATGAAGATCTGAATCGAGCAACCAAGCGAAAATACAAGGCGAACAAGGTATTTTTAAAGGATATGAAAAAAGAGACAAAAAAATACATTTTCTATTTTTGACACTTTGCAGTGTTGATCAAATTACCTGCTCGAATGTCATGCAATTTAATGCGAATTTTGATTTCACCTCGTTCACGATTAAAAGCAAAACAAGTCCTGTTTTTGTTTTCTTCAGGTCAGTGTTTTGACAATTTGCATCAAATTCGTTTATCTGTGGTTCCCTTGAGATAAAAACCTTCTTGTTTTGACCTTTTGTTGTGGTTTTGATTAATAACCAGACACGTACGAGTTTCGAAAAATATTTTTTCGCGTGTTCTAACCGTATTTGCTCTTTGATTGATCCCGTCGCATTTCATAAACCAAACGTTTACAAATTTTCTCCCTCACGTGAACTTCGATGGGACATAATCCGTAAGAGATAATCGTGCTTTGACTTTCTTTCTTTCTCTGGCATCGTAGAAGTTAAACTTGAGTTGTGATCGAATGAACACATACAGTTCGTTCGAATTTAGATTACCTGTTCGATGCCATATGTTGACCATATTTCTTGTTCTAATAATTATTCTTGTAAGAACTTTGTTCGGATGTTTTCCACATGAAGTGTAACGTAAACCATTTACTAAGTTTTCAAACGGAAGCAAAAAGAATTTGAAGTATGTCTCGTCGATGATCAACGGTACGCTTAAAATACTGAAAATGGAGTGTTAATTTTTAGCGTCCGGAGTGATATTCCTAATGATTGATTCTTTGTGTTTTCTTCACGGTGGGATAAAAATGGCCCGAAGTTTCGTGAACCAAAACAGTGTGGTTCGTTCTGGTAGATTGGCTTGCTGGAGGCCCGTTTTTTTTTTTTTAAGTAAGAGGGTGAACTTAAATTAATTGAAGTGTTGGTGTCGGAACTTATTTTTAAAATACACATTAATTTCTCTGGTCCCTTTTCGTGAATTCTGGTGTTAAATTATGTTTTCTTGTTAGGCGCTATTATTAGTTGCTCAGGATGTAATAAGACCACTTGCAGTTGAGTCCATTTGACACATTCACTAATTGTTCCGAAAAATTATTAGCAGAAGTAGAGACAGTGGCCAGTTTTCTTAAGAGATAAGGTTCCTCCATTTTTACAGTTTTTTGTTTTTTCGTTGAGGTGTATGACTTTTTAAATTCTGTGCAGTTTCAGTCTTTCTGCATGATTTCCTCCCAAAATGTTACCAGACTTGCCAACCCCCCAGTAGGCAAAAATCTTTAGATTCTGAACCTGGAGCCAGGAAAAGTAGTGAGATGTCCAAAATTTCGTAGTGGAAGGACTTTAGGTGGGGATCATGGGTATTTACAGTCTATCATCACTTTAGTCTTCATTGCTGCAGATATCCACACATTTGTTGAGGGGGCAGGGGGGCATCTTGAAATGAGAGATAAAGTTTTATCTCAAAAGTGATACTGGGTATTTGGTGGTAGCAACAAGTGGTGGTAGGCTGAAGAGTGTAAACTTAACAATGTACCAAGTTGGCAATTATTCACTTCTTTACTAATCAAATTCGACCACTAGGTGTTTCTTTGGGTTGAGTTTATTATCTAACTTCAAAACATCAAACCCTACAGATGCTCCAAAAGGTGTTTTTTTTGTAGTGTGACTTTCCAAGAAAGCGTGAGAAATCAGTGTTGTCAACTCATAAAATTAATGATGAGATCATGATATAGGTTGTGATAATATTCTGAGACTGACAGCAAAGTTGAGACTTGGCAAGTCTGCATTACACTACCTTCCATTGCCTAATGGCGCTGTTAGTCTGTTAGATTAGGGAACTTATTCTTGTGTGTTAATAACCCAATTTTTAAAGAAGGGTATGAGAGGAACTGAAATTTTAAATGGACTCTTCAGTACTGTATTGGTATTGATTTCCTCTAATAACAAAAAACGAAAAGGCAGGATATCCATTGCTGGTATAAAACAAAATGGCATGTCTTTTTTTGTCTGATCAGTGGCACATTGCATGTTGAAGTACTTTCAGGTCAGAAGCCTCTTTTGCCATAGACCACATGGGCTGACTAGTTGATTTATTACTCATTCAAATGAATGCTGTACCAATTGTAAGATCAAACATACAGTATAGTAATTGAATTGAGTGGAGTGCAATTTGGTCTGAAATCATACCATGATTTCCAAATCGGATAAGCGTGTTGCGCAAGTTTGATTTGAAATCACAATAATGCTTTCAGACCAAAATTGCACGATACAAAGTTCAATTACCACTTTATTGCAACCATTTTGAAATCACAGAATTCAGTCAGTACCAATATTTTTTTTAACTATAGTAGCAGGTTTGTTAAAAAGCAGAAAAAAAAGGCTTTTACATCTCATTTTGTATTTGAAACAGAAATGATGTGATACAGAGCAAAAAACAAGGTGATTTAAAACCGAAATGACATGTTTTCAGAACAGATTACAGCAAAAAATTAAGTGTTGTTTGTGAATAAATCACACTGCTGAGAGCGAATCAGATTGCAGGGATCACCAGTGATTTTCAAAGTGGATGTAATAATGTCCGTTCATCTTAAGGTTTTCATTTAAGCTTACATTTTTGTAATTTTATTTCAGGAAAGTATGGGTAAATCAGATGACATAATTGCCTTTGAAGCTCTGACCAATCACACTCGCTGTAATGACAGCTTTGTTCTGGATTTATTCCAAGCACAGTATCGCTCCTCACTCAAATGCCCCAGGTGCAACCAACAGTCAACCACATTTGATCCATTCTTGTGCCTCTCATTACCCATTCCTCAGAGAGAAACTCGACCCATCATTGTCACGACAGTCTTCGTACATTCAACTAGAGTACCGATGCGCATTGGAGTTAGCGTACCTTTAAATGGAACTATCGCTGATTTGCGAAATGTTGTGTCCGACATGACAGGAATCAAAGAGGAATCTTTGATTCTCACAGAACTCTACTATGATGGTTTTCATAGAACATTTCATGATAAGCAGTCATTGAGTGTTGTTCATGATGGGGACAATATTTATGCCTTTGAATCACCCAGTCAGCTTTTTCCTGAAATGGACACTGGAGAGGCACAAAGCCCTGTGATGTCGGCAGACAACGATGGTCCCATTCAAGACACCATTGTGATTCTTGTATCAAACTGTGAGGGACCTAGTAAAACTACATCAAGTAAAAGGTAAAATTCCTGCCATAAAATGTTTTTAAGGTAGAGGATTCAAAAGTTAGTACCGGTAGTAAGCATATTGGCAGCTTACCTGTTTATCAGAATAATTTGCCTTTGCGTTAACAAACATGTGGCCAGTCACAGAAATTCAGCATTTAATTGAAAATGGAGATGCTTTTATCAGTGGAAATCCACCTTGACTGGGATAATGTTGATGTTAACAGTTACTGTAGTCAAACCCATATCAAGTATTCACCCTACAGGAAATGACCAACTGACTGCTTACCACAGCTGAGTTGACCATTCAATAGAGGTGAATTAACAGCAATGTTTCTGTCATTGTCATGGAAGCAGAAGTAAGAGACCAATTTTGAAGGGATTTTGCTTCTGCCTTATTTTCCACGTGACTTAAAGGACAATGACAATAAAAACAAGTCAGTCACCACTTATTAGATCTAGGGTGACTAAGATTTCAAAGTGCTAGATGTATGAAATTAGTAGGCAGAGTATTGAACAGCTAGGAATTTCTTTTGGTTTTATTTTCCTTTTCTTTCCTATGAAAGTAGCCATGGATAAAATATGCTCATAGCAGCTGGGAGAAATCCCCTGCACCCAGCCCTGAGGGATAGCCTTGGTAAGTGCTAAGCTCTGCATACAGGATACCCACAATTAAGAGATGAGCATCCATGATACAATCTAGCCTGAATTGCAGATGTAACCTAACCCTGACTGGTGACCTTTGGGAAGCAGTCCCAAGATCTTTGTTCTAAGCCCCCTAATAGACTATTGTATTTAACCGGAAGTACATTTTGAATTTCCCTAAAACCTGACTGGGCAATTGAACAATGGCTTTTTTAACAGGCCAATCATTGCGTGTACTCAAATCCTGATACACAGCTGAGGGGCCAGAACGGGAGTTTTCGTGCTAGCTGACTCGTAGACTTAACCAAGATACTATCTGCATCACAAGTTATATTTTTTCTTATTCTTTTTTTTTTTCAGATTTGGTCTTCCATTCATTGTAAGAGTTCTTAGAGAACTTAGTTATGAGAATCTTCAAGCAGCAATCTTGAAAGCCATGTCGAGGATTCTTTTAGACAACGTATCATCACAGGTAAGGGTCATTCAGTTATTAAGAGGAAAATTTCGTTGGTCAAAGAAAAGTGCAGTTGCATGTCCATTAAAGAAATTACCAAATGAGTTACAGAAAAGCTTAAATTTTTGCTCAGAACAGTGAAAATTCAAGGCAACTTGACTCATATTTTACTGAATATTAATTGAGTCGCCTGTCAATAAGTAATAACCCGTTGTACAATGACTTCAGAGTTCACCATTTTTTGTAGTTTGACAGTTAATATTCGTTATTACCTGAACGATTTTTTTAAATCTTATTTCAGACAATGCAGAAGCAAGGCTTGATTTTCCGACTGCGTGTTGTGAATGGTTTGCCAGGAAAGAGTGCACTTTCCCCAGAGGTAGACCACCCCCTTTACCAGGCGACTGTTGACAAGTAAGTCTTGAGATATACAGCTGTATAATCCTTAACCCAGTCCCTAATGAAAGTAAACAGACTCTGACGCAAGTTTACTGTACAGAATTGCTGGACAGAGCTGTTTGAAAGATGATGAGTACTGGTCAGCTGCCAAGATAATATTCATATGCTTTTTTGATTTGCAGTTTATTACCCATTATTACCAAATTAAGTCGTCCACTCACAGTTTTGAGGAAACTGTTTAAAGGCTGTGTAGATGAAAAACAAAAGTCAAACAGCAACCATGAGCCAAAATGTCAAGATTTGTAGTCACTTACAGAAAGTGGCTGCTTACGACAAGAGATTTCTATGACAAGTGCTATTGTCAGGTGCCAGGGTGCTTACCATTTACACAAACCTCCTGGGTGGAAATCTTGTGCATAAACATAAAACTAAAATATTTGACGTGGTGGGAGAGCAATCCACTACAAAGTATATCCAAATTGGCTGAACAGACTAAAATGAGGAGAAAAATTGATCGCTTCAAATTACAGCCCATATTTTCTAAAGCTTCCCAAACAGAACAAAGTAAACCACTTGATTTTCCAACCAGAATTTCCAGTTTTTCCATGTAAATGGTAAGTACCCGGCCTGGTTTGGGAGAACTTATTTTGGTGCGTAGGTGCTGGCGTATACAGGACGACATCCCGCTTTGAAGTTCTAAATTGACTACAGAGTTTATAAAAAACAGTCTAGACTGATGTAGAAAAGATTTTCATTTTTGTGACTAAACTTTGTTCCTACAGAGCACTCATGGCTTGTGGGCCAGGCAGTGGTCCTCAACATATCAAAGTGATTGCTGAATGGGAACAAGACACAAGAGTCAGGTAAATCTAAATAACCACCAATACAAGGTGAATACGTTGAATTTCAATTCACTTGGTTGAAAGACCAGTGTTGCCATGGTCATTTCAAGGGCATTTTCTGTCAAATCCTGATTAGCCACAGGCTTTCTTTTAGCAACTGCATAAGTTGCCTCTTGACAGGGATGATCTTCTTAATTCCACGGTTTCAATATATAAATTTCATATATTCATCAACAACTCTATAGTGCATAAACTTGCAAATCACAGTAAAAACATTAATGGTTATATTTTGGGTTGAAAGTAATCTTTCAAACTTCCCTTATAGATTTGTTAGGTCCAGTGTCTTTCAAGAAAGGCCTGAAGAGCACTGCAGTGTGCGTGAGATGGAATCATTTCATAACAGCTCACACCATGCTGAATTAGAGGACTGCTTCAGGTTGTACACCAAAGATGAAAAGGTAACAAGAACAAATTAATAATTAATATAGTAACCATCATGACAAAATACTAATCTGAGACCCTTAGCCGGCCTGGGTGTTACTTCCTGTAATGGCCTGTACAGGAAGGCTCAGCTCAGCTTTTTCTCACGTAATCATCTCTCAAGGGTATTTACAGAACTTTACTGACCTTTTGCTCTGAATTTTCAACTTTTTCAGCTTGGCTCTGAAGATGCTTGGCTTTGTCCAAGATGCAAAAAACTCCAGCAAGGAACAGTGAAGAAACTGAGCCTATGGACTCTGCCAGAGGTGCTGGTAGTTCATCTAAAGAGATTCAGGCAGGTCAGTATTATAGTAGTATAGTATTTTTTTTTGTTACACAACATCAGCTTCTCTTTTATTATTTTATTTCTCTTAAGAAAATTACACAGTGTTTTAAAAGTGGTCAGAGATGTTTTTAACTCCCATCAGTCAAAATGAGCCAACAGCTGGCAATTTTGCTGCTTTCGGTGGAAGATTTTGTTGCCACGTGCTCAACATGAGGCCTTTGCCACCTGCTACTCTGATTGTCAAGCGCAGTATTGTAAATCATTTGCCCCATATCTTTTATTACCATAAAAAGAAGGGGGGTAGGAATATTGTTTTCAAAGCAGCTTTCAGATTGGAGACAAGGAATTTTTAGCAAAAGAAATAGTAATATGAAGAATTTTTTCACAGATTACATTATAGACTTACTTTGCAAAAGAAAGAGCGAAGAAAGAGGTTCAGGCACTAGTTCTGTCAGTTTAGGACTGATCCAGTATGTCAGAACTCCTCTCTCCACCACCAAAACATGTAAAAAAGAAAAATGTGACAGTTAGATGAGTGTGCTAGTCAGGAATGACAACTGCAGTGTACTTATTAACACTTGCCATTTCCCTATGCAGACATCAGCAGGTCGCACCAAGCTCCACACTTTGGTAGACTTCCCACTGACTAACTTGGATATGAAGACACATTTAGAACCCCGCATCAAAAGATCATCACCAGAGACACACTCCTTAGGGTGGGGTACATGGAGGCGTCATCGCGTCCCTTCTGTAATCGGATCAGATGAAGAACACCTTTATGACTTGTATGCTGTATGTAACCATACTGGTGGAATGTCTGGTGGTCATTACACAGCGTACTGTAAGAATCCTGTTGATGGCACATGGTTCTTGTTTGATGACATGCGTGTCGAGAAGATAAATGAAAATCAGATTATCACCAAGGCTGCTTATCTTTTGTTTTATGCCCGACGTAATGTTGGCTCCTCATCAGCTTCGGAATCTTCTTCAGGTTCCGATCATTGGACAAGGAGGATGCCGCAATTTTCATTTGAATCTGTGTTAAGATCACGTGATGAACTTGCTTCTAATAAAGAAAATGCAAATGGTAAGGCTTGTTTTTTCCCATAAGCACAATAGTAGGTCTAGTTGATTATCTTGTAACGTTTAGGTTTTGTTTGAGCTAATTCTATATCCTGCCAACCGACCAGTTTTGTGGTTAATGCTTAGGAATGATTTTATGCCAAAGGTCTCTCAGGATCCGTAGACGCACGTTGATGCTGTCTCATCCCCAACACTCTATCATGAAATTATCGTACTTGCAGTCGCAAAAAGGTCTTGTAAGCGATCGATCCCATGAGCAACCACAACCACTTTGTTTTTGAACTCTCATAAGGGACCAATCAGAGTCCTATTCATCTAAATCAACACTTTAATGAAACTACACACTGTGCTGATAGTTCGTTGATAAAGATCTTGTACAGTGCAGTATTGAATTTGTAAAAGTTCATGGCCCTTTCCATAGCGTTCACTTAACCTGCGTGGCAATGACTACAGAGCCTAACGTTCACATGAACACTTAGTGACTCTGAATTATTCATGCATTTCTGAAGCTTTTGTAATCCACCACACCCTATTGTCTTACAATGCGGTACATTCTTGTAAGCAACCAGCTCTAGTTACAACCACTTTTTTGAATTTCCAAGGCGTTCACTTGTGAGTGCTTGAACAGTGTTCTCCTCTCAGACTAAGTTTTAAGATTGAATTATCTAAAATAGAAATTAGAAAATATTTCTCTTTTATTTTCTACTCAGTTTTATCATACGAGGCTATATTATTCTTGTATCAGTGCACCCATGTTGTGGTTCCAATTCTTGCTTGTAACTGGTTTATCTCAAATACATTACCTTAAGCTGAGATAAAGAAAATAAAGAATTGAATAAGGGTGAAAATATTAGTATGATGTCTCTCCTAAGATAGATCATTTATGACATAAATACCCCTCTAACCGCCAAAAAACTTTTTATCCAGAAAATTATATTCCACCAATGTTTTAAACATTTTGTAAAGTCTTGACAGTGAACCATTTTAAGGTTTGAGAGAGGGCTGTAATTGTTTATTTGTCTACTTTATCCTTTGATTAATTATTTGCAAACACCACTTTCCTGTAATTGCAGGTAGAACCACAACTCCATCAAGCAATGGCTATCCACAAAACCATGTGAACAATACAGCCAATAACAAATGGAACAGCAGAGAAAACATCATGACTGAATCATGTGTGTAACTTATCACTTACAGTAACCCTTGTTCGTACGTAATCTGGAAATGTTGGCTTGGGAGAGCAATCCACTACAAAGTATATCCAAATTGGCTGAACAGACTAAAATGAGGAGAAAAATTGATCGCTTCAAATTACAGCCCATATTTTCTAAAGCTTCCCAAACAGAACAAAGTAAACCACTTGACTTTCCAACCAGAATCTCCAGTTTTTCCATGTAAATGGTAAGTACCCGGCCTAGTTTGGGAGAACTTATTTTGGTGCGTAGGTGCTGGCGTATACAGGACAATATCCCACTTTGAAGTTCTAAATTGACTATAGAGTTTATAAAAAACAGTCTAGACTGATGTAGAAAAGATTTTCATTTTTGTTACTATACTTTGTTCCTACAGAGCACTCATGGCTTGTGGGCCAGGCAGTGGTCCTCAACACATCAAAGTGATTGCTGAATGGGAACAAGAGACAAGAGTCAGGTAAATATAAATAACCACCAATACAAGGTGAATATGTTGAATTTCAATTCACTTGGTTGAAAGACCAGTGTTGCCATGGTCATTTCAAGGGCATTTTCTGTCAAATCCTGATTAGCCACAGGCTTCTTGACAGGGATGATCTTCTTCATTCCACGGTTTATAAATTTCATATATTCATCAACAACTCTATAGTACATAAACTTGCAAATCACAGTAAAAACATTAATGGTTATATTTTGGGTTGAAAGTAATCTTTCAAACTTCCCTTATAGATTTTTTAGGTCCAGTGTCTTTCAAGAAAGGCCTGAAGAGCACTGCAGTGTGCGTGATATGGAATCATTTCATAATAGCTCACACCATGCTGAATTAGAGGACTGCTTCAGGTTGTACACCAAAGATGAAAAGGTAACAAGAACAAATTAATTTATATAGTACCGGTAACTGTGATGACAAAATACTAATCTGAGACCCCTAGCCGGCCTGGGTGTTACTTCCTGTAATGGCCTGTACAGGAAGGCTCAGCTCAGCTTTTTCTCACGTAATCATCTCTCAAGGGTATTTACAGAACTTTACTGACCTTTTGCTCTGAATTTTCAACTTTTTCAGCTTGGCTCTGAAGATGCTTGGCTTTGTCCAAGATGCAAAAAACTCCAGCAAGGAACAGTGAAGAAACTGAGCCTATGGACTCTGCCAGAGGTGCTGGTAGTTCATCTAAAGAGATTCAGGCAGGTCAGTATTATAGTAGTATAGTATTTTTTTTTTGTTACACAACATCAGCTTCTCTTTTATTATTTTTTTTCTCTTAAGAAAATTACACAGTGTTTTAAAAGTGGTCAGAGATGTTTTTAACTCCCATCAGTCAAAATGAGCCAACAGCTGGCAATTTTGCTGCTTTTGGTGGAAGATTTGCCACGTACTCAACATGAGGCCTTTGCCACCTGCTACTCTGATTGTCAAGTGCACTATTGTAAATCATTTGCCCCATATGTTTTACCACCATAAAAAGAAGGGGGATAGGAATATTATTTTCAGAGCAGCTTTCAGATTGGAGAGAAGGAATTTTTAGCAAAAGAAATAGTAAAATGAAGAGTTTTTTCACAGATTGCATTATAGAGTTACTTTGCAAAAGAAAGAACGAAGAAAGAGGTTCAGGCACTAGTTCTGTCAGTTTAGGACTGATCCAGTATGTCAGAACTCCTCTCTCCACCACCAAAAGATGTAAAAAAGAAAAATCTGTGACGGTTAAATGAGTGTGCTAGTCAGCAATGACAACTGCAGTGTACTCATTAACACTTGCCATTCCCCCATGCAGACATCGGCAGGTCGCACCAAGCTCCACACCTTGGTAGACTTCCCACTGACTAACTTGGATATGAAGACACATTTAGAACCCCGCATCAAAAGATCATCCCCAGAGACACACTCCTTAGGGTGGGGTACATGGAGGCGTCATCGCGTCCCTTCTGTAATCGGATCAGATGAAGAACACCTTTATGACTTGTATGCTGTATGTAACCATACTGGTGGAATGTCTGGTGGTCATTACACAGCGTACTGTAAGAATCCTGTTGATGGCACATGGTGGTTGTTTGATGACATGCGTGTCGAGAAGATAAATGAGAATCAGATTATCACCAAGGCTGCTTATCTTTTGTTTTACGCCCGACGTAATGTTGGCTCCTCATCAGCTTCGGAATCTTCTTCAGGATCCGATCATTGGACAAGGAGGATGCCGCAATTTTCATTTGAATCTGTGTTAAGATCGCGTGATGAACTTACTTCTAATAAAGAAAATGCAAATGGTAAGCTTAAGGCCTGTTTTTTCCCGAGGCACAATAGTAGGTCTAGTTGATTTTCTTGTAGTGTTTAGGTTTTGTTTGAGCTAATTCTATACCCTTCTAACCGACCAGTTTTGTGGTTAATGCTTAGGAAATGATGGTTAACTCAAACCATTGGCATGTTTTCCTTTTTTATGCCAAAGGTCTCTCAGGATCTGTATATGCATGTTGATGCTGGCTCATCCCCAACACTCTATCATGTAATTATTGTACTTGCAGTCGCAAAAAGGTCTTGTAAGCGATCGATCCTGTGAGCAACCACAACCACTTTGTTTTTAAACTCTCATAAGGGACCAATCAGAGTCCTTTTCATCTAAATCAACACTTTAATGAAACTACACACTGAGCTGATAGTTCGTTGATAAAGATCTTGTACAGTGCAGTATTGAATTTGTAAAAGTTCATGGCCCTTTCCGTAGCGTTCACTTAGCCTGCATGGCAATGACCACAGAGCCTAACGTCAACATGAACACTTAGTGACTCTGAATTATTCATGAGTTTCTGAAGCTTTTGTAATCCACCACACCTTATTGTCTTACCATACGGTACATTCTTGTAAGCAACCAGCTCTAGTTACAACCACTTTTTTTAATTTCCAAGGTGTTCACTTGTGAGAGCTTGAACTGTATTCTCCTCTCAGACTAAGTTTTAAGATTGAATTATCTAAAATAGAAATAAGAAAATATTTCTCTTGTATTTTCTACTCAGTTTTATCATATGAGGCTATATTATTCTTGTATCAGTGCACCCATGTTGTGGTTCCATATTTTATTCTTGCTTGTAATTCCTTAGTCTCAAATATGTTACCTTAATCTGAGATAAAGAAAATAAAGAATTGAATAAGGGTGAAAATATTATATTAAGAATTTGCTCTAGTATGATGTCTCTCCTAAGATAGATCATTTATGACATAAATACCCCTCTAACCGCCCAAAAAACTTTTTATCCAGAAAATTATATTCCACCAATGTTTTAAACATTGTAAAGTCTTGACAGTGAACCATTTTAAGGTCTGAGAGAAGGCTGTAATTGTTTATTTGTCTACTTTATCCTTTGATTAATTATTTGCAAACACCACTTTCCTGTAATTGCAGGTAGAACCACAACTCCATCAAGCAATGACTATCCACAAAACCATGTGAACAATACAGCCAATAACAAATGGAACAGCAGAGAAAACATCATGACTGAATCATGTGTGTAACTTATCACTTACAGTAACCCTTGTTCGTACGTAATCTGGAAATGTTGGCGAGAAGACTGCTTCCAACAGCTTCCTTTACATTGAATTGCTTTCATACTGTCAGACGGGAGCTTAACCCTTTAGCCCTGAGAGTGATCAGCATCAAATTTCTCCTTGTGATATCAATGCTTTGTACAACAGAGTGGTCATGAGAATTACAGACATGATCACACAAGATGAATTTTTTTGATATTTTTTCCACTTCTCCCCAGTGCTTCTGTAGGAAATGAATAGGGGAAACAAATGAGAATTCAAATTTTGATCTTAGGGCTTAAAGGGTTAAGCAATGATGACGG